GTAGTGACTACCATCGACCGCTGCTACATATCCTACTCACCTCACAGAACAGGTGGACCTAAACTCCTCGGATACTCAAGGTGTGCCGCCGGGGTTGTATACCAGTACAACCTACGAGCCCCTGGATGTTCATAAGTGTGCAGCCCTATTTGACCCCAGAACGTACGGTAATATCCTTCTAAATTTATAAGTAGGGTTACACCAAATACATGTATTCTATAATATGTACATACAAAACAATACAAAAAACAACAATATAGAGTACAGTAATAATGCATACATTTTTTTTACTCAACAACACACCATACTCTGCAGGCTCCTTGGTTCTTCGAGGTGAGCTCACCAGCTGATGTCACGTTGCAGACCCCACTGCTGATCGAGACACTCCATAAGGGCTTCACGCATCCGACTCGGCTATTAGAGTGGCTACTCCCGGACGGGGAGCAGGGAGCGACACCACTGGCCCCCATGACAGGAATTAGTCGACTTTAACTCGGTGGAAACACTCCTTCTCGCCTTGGGTCGGTCGTTTGACTTCACCCAGTGATTATCGAACCGCCACCGATCTCCATAGTCGGTGCCGTAGGCTACAACTGGCCTCTACCGCGGGGGCGAGTCACTGCAAAGTGAGCGCATGCACAGCGCATTGCGCATCGGCGTCGAGAACAACTGGACGGGGGCGCTACCCAGCGACGACCTTCGAATCCGCAACAGCACCATTTGTAACTGCTTCTCCCTATTGCTCACGAAAACCTCCATCTGAAATCCGTGTTAATCCCTTGTTTGAACTAATTTTGTGCCCTTGAAGATTACGTAGTATAATACAATTCAGAGAAAAAGGCAAATTTGGTAATAACCTTGGATGTTGAAGTTTCACCTGTAACCCATTGTATAGGGCTCTATTCCCGAAACAACTCATATGACAAGTGCTCAACGTCAAATTGGTTCTAAAAACTATCATCAGAATTCTTAGTTAGCCATCACCATGCTCAGGCGATTTGTTGTGTTGTTTCAGGTTCTACGCAACGATCCCTACGTGCGTTTCCTGCAGAGTCCACAGTACCTTGAACTTTTGGGCAAGCTCAAGAACTGAAAGCCGTCAATCACTCCTTGACGACGTTTCAGTACAATCTAGCAAGTTACTGTAGCGATACGGTTTTTCTAACATCTGCGATTTTTTTCTAGCGTCTTGCAAATTTCTAGGACGGCAGTTGTTCTACCATATCGAGTATTTACACATATCAAACTGAATAAAGATTTAGTGCACCTTATATGACTGTGTTTTTCCCATTGAGGTAGAAGCACAAAGCATTCAGCTTTGATGAGCCTTTTTTGAATCGCGCCATGCTCCAAATTGCAAGCGGGGTATTCGGTCATTGACTGTCCCGTAAAATGAGTAACTGCTCTATCGATGTTTCACCTACCAGATGAAGTACTTGCCGACTGACGTGTGAAAGCTGTATCCTAACTGGATAATACCTTGACCCTGACAGCCACAATATTCTGCTGATAATTCTTTATTATTTTTCCAAGGTACCTGCATGGGTTCAGCTGTCGCAATGTTCGGCTGCTCACGACTCGCCCTGACATTATCTCAACGATAAGCTCGTTGAGATAAGTCTCTAAAGGCAAGGAATATTATAAAGGTGGAGCGCCTCGAGAACAGATGCCACACCATACTGGAATCAGTTACGTGTCAGGGGGGAAGCGCAGGGTGTAGGCGCTTTCACGCAGGATAAGCATTCGCTTTTTGACTGGAGCAGGATTTGGAAAGCATCTCCGCGCCCCAAAAAGCGATCGCACTAGTTAAGCTGGTGATTTAGGCGGCTGTGGCCAGCAGTGGCACAACTGGAGCAACTCCATTGGGGCGTAGTCTGACATTGTTTCATTAAATGCCTTGCGCTGAACTCGTTCATACGGCTGCTTTTCGAGCTGTCACGTGTTTAAGAGGGAAAACAAACGGTCAAAAAGGGAGTCCCGTTTTTGTGTTTTAACGGATTCTCCGGTTTTTTCGCACCGACGCTTCTTGAAACTATCGAATCGATGTCTTTAACGAAATTTACTCAAACAGGGAAAAATCGAACCAGCAACCCTTCGAAAGCGCGCATTACAGGAAAGGGGGGGGGCAAAAAAGGAACTTCTATGACATAATATTCATTAGATGTCCTTCCCATGAGCAGGCGGCAGGCCCTCCTTTGCTGCCCTCACCGTTTTTTCGTATACGTCATGCTGAGATCAACGTCAAGTCGGTGAAGGGTCTAGGATGATCGTGCTAAAGCCTGAAGCTGCTACATAATTTCTTCAATCGGTGAGCTGGTGGGTAGCTCTAGAGATAGTAGCTCCGAACTTGCAAGAGCGCTTCTGACCAGCGTTCCAGATAACGTGGTAATGGTTCAGGATGTGACGACGACCTCGTTGAGTTCGCACCGTGCACCCCCGTGGCAGATTCTTTGAATTCCGTCGGGTCAGCAGCCTATTATGAAATCCTTGATAAACTGGAATGTGCTCGTCGATATTCAGTTGGGCATTTGGATGGAATTTAGGAAAAAGCAATCAATACCGTTTCAAATGGGGAGGGAAATGACTTTCTTGGCTAGCCCTGTATGTAGTCTTACTTTCATCTGTTTCAGAATGAGAGAGAAACACAGCGACTTGGTCAACACTTTGAGTAAGCATTGTTGAAATCAAAAAAGTCCTCAAAACTCTGGAGTGCATTTTTACAGAACTCGAATGAGCTAAGCCTATTGGTATATTTCTCCGTGAATTTAACTATACAGTATTTGTATTATTACAAAAAGTCGAAAAAATGTCTGCTCGCAGCTCTTTTAGTGTTAGGAGAAGTAGCGTGAGGCTGTTGTCAGAGTTCCGCGATCCGTCGCTCGATTCGCACCTGACACCAGCCTACGTCTACTACTTGTAACATACCTCGAGATGAAGGGCGTCGTTGGTTTCGGTTCAGGCCTGGATTTCATTCTTGAGCAGATAGGAAGTAGTAGCCAGCGGCGCACATTTTAGCTGCACCACTCCCTTGCGTTGGAGAAAAAATGGAAAATTGAGCGAATTCAACTGATACGATATTTGTTCAGATTTAGCCATAGTTTCGAGTTCCAACGAAATTTCCATGTCCATCGGCCATGTAGCGACCCATCAAACCATCAATGCCCAAACTACTTGTATATATGTATGTATGTGTATTCTCTGTCATTTCTTTTATCAGCCTCGATGGAAACAGTCGAATTACACAATTATGATTTTGTTATGCGGCAATGCACGTTATAATTGTAACTAGCAACAAAACTAACATCAGCTATCATCACGAGCATCAAAAAACACAAGAGACGCCGATATGTGAGGC